AAAATGAAGAGGGTGGTATAACCTTTAAGATGAGGTATATATCATTAATATGTGAAATATGTAACTCGATTTATAGTAATTTAACTTAAAATCGTATTTTTTCAATATTATCCATATAAATATATTGCGAAATAAATATTTTAAGTTTTAATCTATATATCGAGAAATATATTTCACATATTAATGATATATACCTCATCTTAAAGGTTATACCACCCTCTTCATTTTTACAATTTATTATGCTTAGCTAACTACTACCACTAAATAGAAATATATGTTTGAAAATTTTACCATTGAATTTTCCATTGACATTAATAAAAATTCCTTATATTCACGGGTTATTTGTGAGAGAACCACAAGTCCAATTTTAGCATACGATGTCGCATATGAAAGCTCATACTTTTCTCTTCAAACTTGCTATGTTAAGTTTTTACCTATCTCCATTTGCTCAACTTGAAACTCTACTCTGCGAGAGTGTTCATTCAAATAATATTTTTGAATGGAACAAAAATTTGATCAATGTAGATTAAAAAATGCCCTACCTTACTCTTATAAACCCACTTTACAGTAATATGATATATCATCTAGTTTTTGAGATACAAGCTCGCAAACTTGGTACCTCATGGTGAAACACGCTGTATGTACGTTAAAGATTTGTGTATTAATCTAATTAAACAGAATCATTATATTTGATAGCTATATAATAAGTGACTATAATATACGGTAAAGCGCTGATGATTTATTAAAAAATTTATAGACACTTCATTATTACTGTAAATACATGTCATGTATAACATATAATAATTGGAATTTTGTTACTTAAATGCTATTTGCTTGAATCAAAAACCTTTTATCAGATGATTAGGATTGTAAAGTTATATCAAACAAATAAGAATATTAAATGTATTTATTATGTAATAAGCTTTTGCTATTGTTAGATTAATTTATATTATAAGTCCTAGAATCTAAGAGTATTAAAGTTATCAATGGATTCGTTAGGTGATAAAATACCGTAACAATTATTACATACTGAAAATATGTGCTTAATTTATATGAACTTTGAATTGTGGCAAATGAAATATAATATTAATATATTACGGTAAAAATAAACATTTCGTGTGAATAGCAATTGATTTTAAAAATTATGAACAAAATAGCATTGAATATAACAATAACTCACAATAAAACAGCATTCAATGTCACGCTTTTTACTGTAAATGGTTTTTGTAGTCAAACTCACAGTTAGTTTAAAAAAGTATTTCCTTAAAAAATGATTTTATGAATTTCATACGAAATGTATTTCTGTTGTAACATATAATTGAAACCCATTTTCCTTTATGTAAATCCTTTTACTTATGGAATAATTGTCAATAAGTTTTTATATTATAATTTATAAATAACTAAAATAATTGAACACATGTTTGAGACAAAACTTGATTTCAATACTAATAATAATAAACTTTGGATTCATGAATGACTTTCCATTATAAACCCATTTGAATACCAAATTATTTATTTGATTTTCTAGTGTTAATAATTCATTAAAATGAGTAAATATATCGTATAAAACAAAACATTTTATTTTTTAATTGCATTCGTATAATGAAAAGAGCATTACATTAATAAGTTGTTATGAAATGTAAACTATAATTAAAGTTAATTTGTGTGAAACAAATGCGACCTAAAAACGAATTCAATGGCAAAAAATGTTTATAAAAATTTGAGAGAATTTGAAGTTTTATTTAATTTTAATTTATAAAAGGCACTCATTTTATAAAATAAAATTTATATTCAAATGTAGAAAAAAACATACATTTTATTGAATATTGAAACAGAATATTATTAACTGAGATATAATAACAAGAATATATGAAAAATAGATTTAATTTCATTACAAGCGTCTAAAATATAGTAAAATATCTAAAAACAAATGCCTTTAATTTTGTAAATATACCAGTAGTACAGTAGTAGTAATATAGAAATAGTATATAAATACTAATTGAATGATATCTTCGGGGATGACAATACATATTATTCTATAAAATAATTCTTAAAAAATATTCTCATGTATTATCCGAAAAACATATATAATATAATCAAATCAGAGATATATTGATAACAATTGAAGGAATGAGTGAATCGATGAATAGATATTCAAAACTGTTTGCCGTCGCAAACCCTTTGAATTCAAATCCTTATCGACACAAAAGTTTCATTTTTAAAATGTTTGTTTAATAGAATAAAAATACATTAATTTTCTTGTGTTTTGTTCTAATATTATGGAAAAATAGAAATGGTTTCGGAAAACAAAACCAAACATTTGATGATAAGTCGAAAACTTGTTACAAATTTTATGCTTTCGTTTCTTTCCCTAAACTATCAATTCTTGAAAAAACAATTTTTTGCATGTTTTGTGTCTTTTCTGTGTATAAAATAATTTCACTTAAATTACTGTCTCTTAACAGTGTTTACATGTTCTCGAACTGATCCACACGTCGCTTAGTATTGCCTTTTCTTATGTCTCGTAATGTCTTGTATTTGTCTCTTCCCTGTCGGACATTCTCTTCATGTAAGACATCGTTTTTGGTTACTTTCGAGTCGTCTTTAGATAGCGCTAAGTCTTGTTGTAAGAGCTGTCAAACAATAGCAACAGAGAGTTAGTCGACATTCAGTTCATTGTCATCGCAGTGACCATACCTTCAGCTGTTCCTGAAGGTCCTTCTTCTTCGACACTTCGGTCTCTCGTTCCTCTTCAGGTCGCGGGACGTCTATAGCACTGTCGCCATCGCCGTCGCCATTGAATTGAACGCCTGTTTGTC